TAAGCTAAATAAACATCTTAAATTACCAACAGAATAAATCTAACATACATGCTTCACTCAATCTATCTACTTTAATATAGAAGTCTGTAGACTGCAACGAATTTGAGGTGGGCTGTTTTCTTGATATTGAAGAAGCGTTCAATAATACAGATCACTCATATATCGAAAGATGCCTTCATAATAGAGTCGATAGCACGACACTACATGGATAAGCAATGGTTTTCATTCTCATGTAGACAATGTTATCCGAAGAGCCAAAGAAATATTATGGACCAGCAGAAACCTCATTGGTTAACACTGGGGCCTAAATCATAAACTCAGTCTCTGGATGTATACATCTATTGCTAGGCCAATTCTTACTTCTGTATTATCTATCTGGTACAAGATAGCTCAGCAGAAGATTGTGATAGATAAGCTACGAAAGCTGCAGAAAATATTTTGTGGTCAACCTATATATAAAATTAAAAAATGGCTGGATAGAGCAGCTCAGACTAATTAAGATAATGTAAATGCCTAAAGAATTCTTGCCATCTGATTTGTCACAGGATTCTTACTGAACATTGCGAAGTAAAAAGGCATCTATCGAACCTAAGTATTACAAGAGACGATAGCTGCAGACTTTGTTGCGAAGAAAAGGAAACAGCAGAACACATTCTGTGTTACTCTGATAGTCTCGCCAGACTTAGACTTCTACTATCCACTTGTACTATCCACTTATAACGGAATTAGGCAACATCTCCCCAAAGGACATAATGGTAATCCGTTTTTAAATCTAATCTAATCTAATATCGTTACGATTGGCTACAGTACGCCTACTGTAAACGAAATAATTTTGAATAAAACGCAAAGGAATATTTCTATATACCATAAGGATATATTCAATCGAAAAAATAATTCAGGTGTTGTACACCTGATGATTCTGGTGAGACTGAAGATACTCCAGCAATTAGCAACGACTCTAAGGAAAGTGTCGTTACAAACTTGTCATACAGTGCGTTTAATAATTGATTTTTTGCGAAATCAATATGGTGACAACTTAATTTCCAGAAGTAGTCCTGTTAACTGGCCCCCTCTTCCGTGAGACATACCATACCAGCAACTCTTGAAGCATTAGAACCCAATATTCATGCTATCATTGGCGCCATACTGCCACATTTATTGCAAATAATTGTCAAAAATTGGACTTATCGAATAGACCATGCAACTTGTAGCCGCGACGGACATATGTCGGAAATTATATTCAAAAACTAAATACCATGAAATTATCTACCAGATTATAATAAAAAAATTTCAAACCAATAATATTTTTGTCTTGTTTTTATCATTTTAAGTTCTCATGCAGCTAAAAAACCCCTGATAGTTGTTCATATTTTGTTATTTAGTGTGCTTTGATTTATCACAAGGAAATCCGCTACGCACTGTAATATTATTTTACTACAATAATAACTACGAGAGCGACACTTATTCATATCAATAAATATGGATTTAATACGGAATATAACGATGATCGACCACACCAGCGACGGCGACTTTTTCCAATTACAAGTTATCAACGCTGTTTACCTTATGGGACACAAGTACAGTGATATTCCCCTAACTCGAATCTTCGAGCAGACGGCAAAAGAGTTCGAGTTATAAGACAACATTTTTTTTTGGATTTGCTATCAAATACTTTTTATTTAAAATATTCAGATACATTTTTTTACTTTTTACCACTCTACTTTAAATTTATTTAAAATATTCGATTATATGTATTGGTGTTCTGTTTACTTGTTGTTCTTTTCTATATAATTTCCAAATTATTTAATTGGAATATATCATCCATTGCATTTGCTCTGGAATGCATAAATGTTCAAATTGGCTTGATCGCATTTTTATTTGCGGCATTTGTGTCTGGAAACTGTTTTACCTTTTCTTTAATAATACTACCCAACAGAGGTAGGTGCAATAATTATCCATTGTAACATAGCTTCACCAGCGTCATCTTATTTACATATTGTAATCCGTTGACGTTTATTATTACAGAACTCTCTTTTTGAGTTTTTTTAAAATCGTTCATGAAGTGTTACAAGGAATTCCATATTTTTCGGCTATATCTTTTTTTTTGTTACCTTTTTCTACTTCCATAATTAAATTAATTTTTTCCGGGATTGCAAAACATTTTAAATTTCTTTTACTCATGTCTGTGATTGAAAGTCTACTGCTTTACTGACAATAAGCACAACTCTATCATCGCATTAGGAAATTTACAATTATAAGAGCAGTTGTTAGCCATCTAAGTTGTGGAATAATTCGACTTAGGGGACTTCGAGTTAGGGGAATTTCACTGTAGTACATATTGTACTTGGATGCCGACCTGGTGTGTTAGTCTGAAATTTCAACCAAGTCTCACGTATAATAACAAAATTGTATACTGCAGACTGATAGAAATCAAAATATTTTTCTATTCGATTTTTCGACAATCTTGCTCGTTTGCCTTTGTTTTTGATCGAATTTTTGAAGGTATCCATATAAACTTTGTTCTGATTTAAGTCATTAAGGTGGAAGCTTCAAAGCATAAAAATGCATTGAAAATCATGAAAAAATTTTAAAAATTAGGAAAGATTATTTTATTATAAATGACCATTAATTTAAAGTTGCCATTGATTACCATTGATGCAATTTAGAAATTCACCAAATTATTTTATTACTAATTGTCAAACCCATACTAGAAATGTAAATTGGAACATATATGTAATAGTAATAATATTTACTCAATCCGTAATGTTATTTCATCTAGTTTAACATAGATTCTATATTACAGAAATATGCATACAGTATGTGACAAATAAGTTCCCAAATAGAAAAAAATTTATTTTATAAATTAACTAAATGAAGATGAGAACTACTTCGCAACTGAAGTTCAAAAATACGTAAATATTTCCGCAATACGTGGAAACCATTAATTACTGTTTAGTAATGTCATATAATTATTAATCATGTCATCCTTTCAGTGACTGTTAAAAAAATATTCCGCAAAGATGCATATCCATATTAAGATGTTTGCATCTTTAACAGAACAAAAATAAGCAAATATGCGTATACCAGTTTTTGTTGATATCTGATCGATAACGTTATACTGATGTAGGTATGTAGAAAAGAAAGATTGGATTGGAAACCAAGTGTGATATATAACACTCACTCAAGAACTAATTATGCTTTGGTTTTGTATATAAATGTTTGTGAAATCCTACATTAACTGATGCAAACATCGATCAATTACGGTACATATTTGTGTGCCAGCTACGTCAACTAACTCAGATATAACGAATTTGAAACGCATAAGGGTCAAAAACAATTCCTGGACCGTGAATACTTTAACCAATATATTTACTTGTTTTTTTTTTTTATTTTAAATAATAGTAGTATTAAATCATTTTTATACAATAAAATTATTTTAATTTTATGGATTACGAAAAAATCATAAAATTTATTAGCTAAAAGATAATACTTATACTCATACATTTTTTTATATTAACTTATTTAATTTTTAGCATTCTTGTAAATTTTTATATATATACTTAAATGTTTATTTTTGCTTATTACTATTACTGCTTCTTCCATACCATATAGGTTTTAATAACAGATATTTATTTGTATTTATTATTTGCATAATACTATTAAAAAACTATAAATACCGGAAATTATTTGTAAACAGTTATAGTTTTAAGTGATTCAAATTGCGTTTTACGGTTTTTTATGTCAAACTGGTTACCACCAATTAATTAAATATAATTATATGTGTACAAAATTTTAGAAAATATCAAAGTTTACAAATAAAATAATATTGAAGACAAATTAAAAATGGTGAAAGTTTCAGTTTAACATAAATAATATTTGTTCAAAATATAATTAATATTGTTTTCTTAGTAGAATTTGGTACTTAAATACGAACAAAAACGAAAACGCACTGCATTTTCACTCTATGCAGAAAATAACAATTAATGTTGTTGCTTTTTTACATGTTTCATCCAACAGGATTTTTATTTATAAATACAACATTTAAATTATTTTACTAAATATTTTGTAAAATTTTTAGTTTAATGAAAAGTAATAAAAACATATTACACACGTTTTATCTTATATTACAGGTTTAAACGATTTAATAATAAATGCCTAATCCACTTAATCTATTCAATTTGTTTATAACTGTTTATAATTAAAAATTAAGCAATAAAAATAAAAAATAATTAAAAAACAATTTCAATTCCATATAAACATTTTATTAGTAAAGTTTACTAAATTAATAATTAGTAATTTTGCAAGATGTATGTGTAGAACATTATCGTTAGTTAGCGATTTGTTATTGGCATAGACATTCTCTTTTCTTAATTTTTCGTTCAATAAACAAAAAAACTAAACAGTATTGCTTGTATTCCTGTCCGTAATATTTTACAACCACACATGTAAGTAAAATAAATTATGATTTTTAAAATAGACTTACTAATCAAAAAACTGCTAATATTGATAGAAAATTATAAAAAGAAAACAAACAACGACAAGCTTTAACTTGATGTATAAAATATTAGTTGATTGTTTGTATTTAGCATGACAATCTTATGAATATAATTAAACTAAAAAATAAACCTAATTAAAATAAATAAAATATTGAAGTGGTCTTCAATTTTAAATTAAAATCAAAAGAAAAATTAATTTCGTACTTGTTGGAATTAGCCAAAAATACGAAAATACAAAATTTTTTCATAGTTCCTTATTTAAAGAATAAACAAAATTTTAATAATACATACAATTTAATGAAAAAATTAGTTACAAGGAAAAAGCCAAATATATATTATTAATATTCTCAATGCCAATTAAATATATACAGTTCAATCAAAAGTTGAAATAAAATATATAAATTATTTAATTATAAAAAAGTGAAATAAACGAACTGAACTTTATTTCTTTCGAATTGTCGCAGTAGATTGAATATTAATGTTGTTGTAACGCACCTGCCAGAATTGAAGACAATCTTCGTTTTGAGTTATATTCTGAGCGTGAACTTACATTAATAGATTTTAAACACGAAAACAGGATCTTTAAAGTATCTAAACAGTTGTTGGTTTAGGCACATCCAAATTGCCTACATTCAATCCGATTTTTTTTGAAGCTGGTGGTGTTACTTCAGACGGTTCATCATCTAAGTCAATCTATATGTTCAATAAAAAAAAAACGAGTTTTAAAATATTTTAAATAATATAATTGAAATTTGTAAATATAAAAAATTTTGAATTTTTTAAATGATTATAAAAAAAGTATACGCAATATATTAACAAAGCAATATTAAATTCGCAATAAACACGCATTGGTTTTTTTAAACTTCACAACTTTTCATACGTATAAATAATCTTTTGCAACTTGCTTTTTTCAAATAATTTTAATTTTAATTTCTGATTCCATTAATATTGATCCATTTCCAGAATTACCAATCTTCACAATCTGTAAATTAAATTTATTTGATCTATGAAATTATCCAAACAGTTGGAAAGATTTCTGAGACCAACTTTAACTTTACCACAAGATTATTCATATTATTTACTGTTGTATAATTCCTATATTTAATATTACTACAACGGTTTTGATTTTTTTTTTGATTTTTCTAGAACTGGAACAAGTCAGGTAAGTATACAAATAATATCAGTAAAACTAATTTAAGTATCACATAATTTATTAAACAAAAATGACTCTAAATCGTAAACTGTGCTGACATACTCTAAACTGATATAATATAAAGAAAACGATTATTATATAATTTACCTCCATAATAATATTTTCTTTTAACTTTATTGAACTAGATGATTTTGCTTCATCAGTTGTTGATTTTGATATGGTGGTCTCACTAGATGTAGTGTTATCAGATTCTTCATTTACTCCGCTGTTTTCTTTTTTTTCACTCTTTTTATTAGTGTTGGCAGTATCCATATTGGAACCATCTTTTTCCGCTTCGTGTTTCTTAAGTACTTGGTCTAAATTATAACGACGCCGATAATTTATATAAAAGGTGCGTACGTGTGATTCTGTTTTTGTACCAAGTGTTTCAGCTATGAGCTGTAAAATTAATACATATACAAAATTGTGTTAATAACCATATCATTTTAAAACTTACTTGAAAGTCTTTCCCATATTTACGGATTCCCTGCACAGCCAAATTTATTTCCTCATTTGACCAACGAGAATTAATACGATTTGCAACTTCAGCAGGACGCAAGTCTTCCACATTTTCAGTAGTTTTACGTTTTAAACTAGATATAGTTTGTTTGTTTAGTTGCACCTACAGTATAAGAACTTATTATTATTAAGTCTTTTTTTAAAAAAATATTTTAATGAACTATAACAATAATTTTGCAACAAAAATCTCAACCACACTGTTTGCTAAAATATCAAAAATTTTGAGTTTTGATATTAATGAATTACAAATATGAGGGCATTGTTAATACTACATTATTTTTGTAAAACTATTTAATAAAATGTTATGCTTTATATAAGATATATTGAACAAACACAATCCCTACTTAGCGTAAGCGTTTTAATTAGTTTTAAAATTTTACCACGAGACTGTATTAAGTCATTGCTTACTTAAAAAAGTTATCACATTACCGATCCGATTCTGGATCACGGTTTTAAAATTTAATATCTATTAATCGCTCACTTCTTACTTAATACCAAGTTAGAAATGAGCATTTTTAAGTAATTATAATTGAATATTTCAATCAGACAAGTCTAATTTTGTAGACGTAACGGCTTGTCGCAAATTTTGTGCCTTTGCAGCGGACCACACTCACGAGAATACAGAAATTCCACAAGGAAATTTAAAATAATATATGAAAACATAACTACTTAAAAAAAAATTTAATTAATTATTAACTTTTAATATAAGTAGTAAAGAGGTTTCGAAAAGAAGTGAAGAACAACAACAAATATTTATTTTATATTATTTTAATTAATTGAATTTTTGGCTGACCGACCATACAGCTGTTTCGAATATTCCCAAATACCCATCATCAGTGGTCTTGGAAATATTTCTTGTATTTTATTTATTATTTAATTTATTTATTAATAAATAATTTTTTGAGACTACAAGTACCAGGGATTGAATTCGTGCCCTGGCAAAATTGAACCTCAAACTGATCCAACTGACCCAAAGCTGTACTTTTGATATAATAAATTAGGGGCCCACGGGAAAACATCACACTTTAGCCTATAGAACTGTTAACGATAGAACGGCAACGATATATTGAATATTCTATCTATTAAATAATGATACGGTTTCAACCGTGAGTTTGCAAAATATTCATTTGCAAATATATTAAAAACATTATACACATCAAATAATTTTATTTTATATAATCAATTATAATCATTCTTTACGTTCTTCAGAGTTTATAAAACATTTTGAAATTATTGATTATAATTATAAATACAAATGTGCTTAAAAAAATTCATAGTCTTTATATCGTAATGACTCTTCAAGACAAAACTTGAAATATTTATATTTTACAGGAAACTATTTCAATATTTACAACAAATTACTTCAATTTTACATTAACTTACACTATAAAAATATTACGGAATACAATAAACTTAAATAAACTTATTACTACTAAGAAAAACAATTACGAAAATCTTAATATTCCTTCATACACATTTTTTCCTACATTTCCAATTCGGAAGTCCTACTGAATTTGTTTACCACGATTTTTATATATAAGTTAATATTAATTAACCCTGTTATGATTCTGTTTTTTTTACTTATTACAACTAAAAATATATGGTTATAAATATAAATATTATTTTATAATCTTTCATCTTAACACAATCCATTCAAAATTTAAGATAAGGATTTTTCAACACACTTAAAAACATACTAAGTTTGAACAATTCAAAATTCCATAAGACAAAAACAAAACAAAAATATAATTAAAAAAAATTAATGAATAAAGAATGGAATGAATAATGTAATGCGATCCTTACTTGAGTATGGAGGGAGATAATTTTTCTTTCGATACCCTTAAAAAAATCTCGGGCGCCATTTGGACTAGCCAAAGTAATAATATCATCATGATTAATATATATTCCCTTTGGAGGCTTTCGTTCGTGACGATCGGCTGTTGGGTCTCTTACCCTTTTGCCAAATGTAGGACCGGAAGTTGGTCGCTTGTTGCCGGTTCGTCTGTGTGTTTAACATACAAGTTATTCTTTTAATTACAATACGATAAAAACGGTTAAAGCTAAATATATATGTGTATGTACCTCCAATGATGGTGGCAACTGGAGCACATTTTTCCCAGGGGAGAAACGCAAAGAACATTGCAAATAACACCGCAATTACTGCAAAAACCACCTACACCACTATTGCTTGAAGGTGTGTTGCGGCCACCTAAGAACAAAAAGTCAGCATTAAAAAATTTGCGCTTTTATTCGGGTTGTTTCTTCATAAATACCACTTTCATTATCATTTTCATTTGCGGTAAGATCGCTTGGTTTTTTCGATTTGCTTAAAATTTCACTGATAACGCTGCCGCTACTATTTGCTTTTGCTTGACCATTTGACCCATAAACCTAAAGGTCGTTATATACGGGTTAAGAGTGAGATATATACATATATATATACTTATATAAGAAGAAGAGCATATTAGCGCAATGAATATGCAATATTATATAAGAATAGATTAATAGATAGATCTGTTATGTATTCGTTATTAGGTTCTATAGAATAAAAGAATCAACCAAACAAACAAAAGTACTTTCTGACAATTTTTAAAGTAAGATGTGATACGAAACTTTTTCAGACAAAAGCGTACGTCTTTAAAAAGTACAGAAACTGAAAAAATTAGTCATCTTCATCATATCAAGTTTTTAAAAATTGTAAAACTAACTGAAAGACAATGAAAATGTAAAAAAAAAAAATTGAAAACATATAGTGAAGTCATTACATGTACTTATAATTAATATATGAATGAAAGACATGTTTCTGTGTTAACTTTTCATATATGCAATAATATGAAAATATTGACAAGGAATAATAAAGAAGCGCTCTTTTTTATTGTTAACTCGATATGTATGATTTGAGTTTTTACTGATTTGAGTTGTTCGCTTTGTTGATGTTTTTGTGTTTAATTGCAAAAACGCAAGAACAAAATCTAATACTAAGTGTTCTCCTTGCGTTGTGCTTTGATTTCTACCCTTATTTTAAATTATCATTAAATGTATGTCCTAATATATTAATTTTAAACATTCGAAATTGTTGATTTGGAAGGATTGTTGAATTCAACCAGTTTAAACACAAATTATTTTAATTTGATTTGATTTACACTTTCTATTACTTTATATAAACAAATCATTAAAAAAAAGAATAATCCTGCAAGCTGGTGTGCTCAGAATATGTATAAAAATAACAAAAGATCAATAAAAGACCAACACATAAAAAAAAACAAATGTATGAAAATTAATGTTCTTACTGCTAATGATATAAATAAACTTATATATATATGCGTAAACTATATATACTTATACCCTATATACTAATAAAATAATATATTTAAATGCTATGCAACTAATATAATAGATTTCAGTATGTGTATTTCGTTTTAACGTACTTAGTCTTCGGGAATTGATTCCTTAGTTATAGAAATGAAAAATTCGTATCGAAAAGAGGGACAAAAAAGAAGCATTCTCAATATGACATAATGACATTAAAGGTGTCAAAAAGGCACTTCCACTTAATAAATACCTCTGTCAAAAGACCCTTATCATTTTAATAAGTTCATTACTTGTGGTGGGTTAAAGTTAATTTCTTTTTTGAAAATTTTCAATAAAATTTCCGAAAAATATTTTTATCTCAAAATTTTTAATTTGAGAAAAATGAATAATACGGCGCAGAGCCCATTTCAATGCGATAATATATTGCAAAGGCATCAAATAAACAAAAATACAAAAAAAAATACATTTTTTAAAAAAATTATGACAATCTTTTAATTCTTCACATAACTTTTCGATCTGTTATTATACCTTAGTGAAATTAGAAGCTATGCTGGTTCAATATTGGTTTTTTATAAAAAGAACGTCCGGTTACTTTTACTTTTAAATCAGGAACATTTCATTTCGGAAATTTTTTTACGAATCGTATAAAATTTTCGACTATCTTGATTAATTATAAGAACCATTCTCCCGCTTCCAAATATTTTTTTGTTTTTTTTTTTTTTGACTAAATAACTACTATTAACATAGATGTAAAATAAAATAAAATATATAGAAAATGTACATAATAACCTACTTATGGGATGTGTTCTTATATCGAAATTTTTTCAAATGTAACTAAGTCTCTACCAAAATAAAATCAATTTAAAATATTGTATAAAATTAGTATTTGGTATATAAACTAACTATGAATTACCTTATCTTCGCTATCTGATTCTTCATTACTTCCGTTTTCGCTGCCATTTTCTGAACCTTCTTTATTAGATTTGACCTTCTCTGTTCTGTCCATGACGCTTTGCCTATGTCTTGTCTTTTTCCACGAATAATAATATTTAACCAAACTGGCTATTGATTTATCTGGTAACTATTAAAGACATAGGCTTAAATTTATTTAGATAATATTAATTAAGATTGAATACCATCTGTCGTATGCGATGAAAACTCTTGCCATGAAATTGAAAGGCCTGCTCGAAAAGTACTTTATCTTCCACTGTCCATTCATCTGGAAAAGGTGTAAAATTCGCCAAATCCATAACTGCACGTTCAAGATCATGTTTATGCCAGAACAGCATCCCGAGCGCCTGCTCGCCGTTATAACCATATTTTTCTTTAGCTACAGATATATATTCCTCCACTAAAGGTCATAATACATTATATAAAATGTAATTAATACGGTTTCTATCTGCTTTTATTCTTATAATTCAATTAAAAATAACATTTTATTGTTATGTAGTGTTTTGATGTGTATTTAAGAAAAGTAAAGGTTGTGATATAGCACACATTTAGCAAATAATTTTTTGAACTTTTGCTTGAGCTTCGTTTGATAAATCTAAATACATATATTTAAATTTTGAATAGCAATATGTGTACATCCTAAGCAAACTCGAAAGGAGTGGTTTTACGTAGACGAAATTATTAATTTTTATTAATTTTATAAAAATCATTAACATGAAATATCTATAATAATCAACTTAATATTTAATTATTACTAATTAAATTTTAATATATTAATAAATTATTATTGATATTTAATTTATTATTGTGTATTATTAATCAATTAATTATTATTTATTAAATAAATATTATTAATTAATAAATTGATTTATTTTTCCTTCGAAACAATATATAATTTGTGCAGCATTAGAAATCATTTCATTGTGCAGATATTTAGTCTCTTACTTTTGTTACAAATATCTATCCATTTTTAGTTTGTAATAAAAAAAATTAATATCAGAAATTCATTTACTCACGTTTTAAATCAGGTATTTCCTTTGTTGGTGACCATACAAGTAATGCACGGTCATTTAATATTTCTGGCTTTCGATCGCCTTCAGGTATCAGTGCAGGGCACACAGCTTGATAATCGCGCCCGACTCGAATTTTTTCTACGCATGTATGTATAAAATTATTATTATGCTTTTATATAAATTTACTTATACAAACCCTCATATTCAATAGCCTTAGTTTTAGATTTGCCATTTCTCTTAACTGCTAAAAAAATCACCATTAGTTTTCTAACATAATTTCATTTTTGTTTGTGCTTACAGTTATCATCGTCTGAACTAGTCTCCGGAGTACCAGCGCCGCCACCACCGACAACAGCGCCATTACTATTACCAGCGCTTGCACTGTGTCCATTTGGACTTGGACCTCGGGATCGTCGCCCATTCCTGACAAGCTCTGCATTTCGTTCAGCTAATACCATCTTGTCACGAATTAACTTAACTCGATTTTGTTTCTCCAGCGTTAATGTTAGTACAAACTCCTTTCACACAATAAATTTTAAGCAGTTTCTAAAAATCTAAAATTTTAATTGTCTATTAGCTCTTACTTTTAATTTATTTTTATTATAATTTCATTTCTTTCTATTCTTTTCAAACATTATGTGTATTCCAAAAATAATGAATTATATATGCAACTACTTATAAAGTACATTTTTTTGACATTAAGTGAATTTCTAATATGTATATGACTGTCCGCATTATAGTACAGCACACTTTTTTGAACGCAACTTAATCGTAATTCTGTATATGTAAACAATATTTATAAAATTAATTTATGTTAAGGTTTTTATTTTTATATTTATCTTTACTTTATTTTTTTCTACTTCAAAAAATTAATTTTAATTTTGTATGAATTTAATATGCTTGAATCTTCCTAATTTTTATTTACTCTTACCTTTTACCAAAAAAAATCACTTCAATATAGATTCTTAATACACAATTTTAAAATATATACACAGGATTTTGTTTAAATGGATTTGTAAAATTTATACAATTAAAGCATGCGTTTAATTAACAAACAAACCACTAATCAACAGTCAAAACTTCAGTTCATGATGCAGACTACTGAAATGATTTCCTAACTTACAATGGCAGGTAAATTTTCCGAGAATGGCGTTTTTTTTGTGCTGAATTTGGTATACACACAGCACACTTTTAATGCAGCCGTATTCGAATTCACCATAAACCAAAAGTTTGTACTAAATAGTCTCTAATGCAATGCTTTATAAGCGTAATTTGTTTTAAATAAGTTCGATCAAATTTTAAATAACTAATTATGTAAAACAAGTTATTATTCTATAGAAGAATCGGAAAACTTTTAGAGTACCTCCTTTTTTTTGCTTGTGACGTATTCAGCCATACACGAACTCAGTGTTGTATTTTGCATAATTTTACTGAAATTAGTTTTATATGAAGTTGACAGACAAAATTAATTGTCACCGATAATAATATGTAAAGTTAATTATAACGTATCATATATGTATCAGAAATAATCAAATATATTAATTTGTGTATTTATTTTTATATATATTGTATACCGTCTAATTGATCAATTATTTGTATTGTAAATTATGTTTTAAAAAAAGCCAAAAAAGATCCGTCAATAAAGATATTAAAAGCATCAGGCCGATTCCACTAATAGCTATCGCTAAAACTCCAATCTCTTCGCTAAAAGTCTCAAATAAGCGATTTGTTTATTTTAGGAGAATAAGCGATCGTGCGATTCTGCTAACACAATTTCTTCGCTAAATTTATCCGGCGATGTGGATAATGCTGAAATGCATTGAAATGTCATCATAAAAACAAAAATTGTAAACAAATATCAGCTGTTGGAATTATAATTTAAATTCCATTGTGAAATTTAAATTAAAATTAAATTAATATAACATTGGACTATTTAATAAGAAAGAATTTTTTTTTTCCGATGATATGAGAGATTCACGGAATGATTTACGTTGATGAGCGTTTTATTGAAATATTTCGTCTTTCGAAATATTTATGTAAGCTTTTCATGACGGAAATAACTCGGTACATGACACCGAGAAGTCGATTAGATGGAATTTCGATTATATGCGTACTTGTTGCTTTGCGGTTTTTTTGCTCAATGTAAGTTGACGTTTAATAATTGCAAAAAAATAAATCCATTGTTTTAATTTATAGGATGTTAACAGCGTTCTATGGGTCAAAGCTTTTTATTAAATGTTTCTTGCGTTTTGTCTTTAAGTCCACGAATTCCATCATAAATATCTGATAATTAAATAATAAATAAAATATATTAAATAAAATATGTGTAAATAGGTACACAATTATTTATTTTTTTCACTGTTTTATATGCAATTCATTTATTTTTGGTGCAATTTCAAAAATTAAAAATGAAATATGAAAAATAAAATACATTTGCTTACATTTGCCGAATACCAAACACACTCTCACTATATTACTGCCACAAAATTTTTGTAATATTAACAATTATTTTTTTACATTTTAACTTCAAATGCAAGTTTATTTCTATCACAATAAAATAATTAATAAATAAATATGGAAATATACTAAATAATTTACAAAATAATTGCTCAATTTGTTTAAAAAATAATATTTTCACTTTTAGCGACAGTAAAAACCTAATCGGTAAAAACAATCAAATTAGGAGAAATTCGTTTTTTTGTTCGTTTTTATCGATATTTAACGATTGCCAATTTAGCAGAATACGAAAATTGGAGATTTAACGATTTATCCGGAGAAATCAGCTGTTTTTGAAAGTTGAGAAAATTAGCGAATAAAAATTAAGCGTAATGAGTTAGCAGAATCACAAAAGTCGCTAAACTGCATTTAAAGAATTTTATCGATAGCGATTAGTGGAATCGGCCTGTAGGGCTTCGAACCGGAATCAAACCAAATCAAAAAACCGGTATTTTTGCTGGAACAAAAACCAAAACCGAACCGAAAAAAATATATTGTTTTATTTCGGTTTAGCACCGTATAGTTTAGCATTTGATCTTTCACGCGAATTTCTCTTCAGTTGTTGATTTTTGATTTATTTATTTATTTTAAATATATTATTTGAGCCAAGTTATGCCTTAAATAATCATAGTAATTCTGAATACTCCCAGGCAGAGAAATCTTCTTTGCTCCCAGGAATCAAATTTGTTTTGTTAAATTTTGGCAACCATGGCACGTTTTAAGGACGAAAAGTTAGTTTGAGCAATACAAAGAAAATAATTGCGTATCATATGTTGATTTAAATGTAATAATCACATTATTTGTCTGCTGGACAAATTATTAGAAATAAATTTAATGAATACTTTATAAGTATTCACTCATAAATTTATAAGTATTCATTATTCATAAATGATATTCATAAATAAATTCATAAGTATTCATTATTTTATTATTTAAATATGTATAAAATTTTAAATTTAAAAGTAAAATATTTTTTTAATTAAATAATGAAATTATTTATGTTTAAACTTAAATTTGAGTTAAAAGAAGCAATGTTTTACCTGCGCATAATTGCAAAAGTTTATTTTAACTTATTATTGGAATCCCATTCATTTCAGAATTTGGGTTTCCTTCAAATAACAATAGTTAATGCTCTAATTTGTGGAAAAAAACCCAAATGAATAAAATAAATAAATAAAAATTTAAATATACTAAATCTTATATATAAAAATGAACCGAAAAATGTGTTGGTAAGCGCATAACTCAACAACGCCTGGACCAATTTGGTCAATTCTTTTTTTTAAATGTTCGTTGAAGTCTAAGGATGGTTTTTACGGCGAGAAAAAAACGAATTATTGCTATACAATAAAGTTATAATCTTATATATAAAAATGAATCGAAAAATGTGTTAATTCGTTTTATTCAATGTTCGTTGAAGTTTAAGGATGGTTTTTACGGCGAAAAAAAAATCGAATTATTGCTATTCAATAAAGTTCTAATATATATAAAAATGAATCGAAAAATGTGTTGGTAAGCGCATAACTCAACAACGCCTGAACCAATTTGGTGAATTCTTTTTTTAAATGTTCGTTGATGTCCAAGGATGGTTTTTACGGCGAGAAAAAAAAATCGAATTATTGCTATTCAATAAAATTCATATTACATTACAAACACTCACTGTTGTCTAAGCAACATCATCAGTATTTCAAATTTATTATAAATACTGTCATTAATATATGAACTGTAAATAATTTTAATACATACTAATATTTGTTAAGTTATTGTAAAATAAAACAGTTTGCAAAGCTTTTAAGATTTTAACCTAGTTTATTTATTATATTGATAGTAGCAGTTTTTAATATATATATATTATTTCATTCCAAAGCAACCAAAAAAACCTCCACTCTACGCGTCGTATTTCGCCATACTCCTCTTTAAACGTCAAACGCTCGATTTGCTATTTTTGCACACTCATGGTTGCATTTTCGTATTTTAATTTTTCGTGTTTTTACATATTTTACTGAGTTTTCTTTTTATATCATGTTTTGTACGAAGTTTAATTACCAATGATTACTAATTATGCGCTTACCAACACTAGTTATGCGCTTACCAACACATTTTTCGATTCATTATTACATATAAGAAGACAAGAACATAACCAGAATAGATGAGTTTGTGTGTTGTAATAAGTTGTTGATTATTGTAGGTATGTTTATTAAATCCCCATGACTTCCTTTGCAGATCATTATCTCAACTATCCAAGCGAGCCACACAATTTTTATATATTTATCACCTTTAGGTTTCCACTGCCCCTTTAGACTATTTTCCAATCAGGTTTGAACCCTAAGTTCGCCTCTTAGTTTGAAATCTTCTGGCAGACATTCCAGTCGGGGTTTTTTAGTGGATCCCAGAAGGGTGGATAAAGTTCTTGGAAGAGAAAATACTTTGGTCACCCGAGCTGAGCCCCACACAACAGGGTGACTGTTCTGTGGTGGAGATTTTTTTAACCCGACTTTAAAATAGGTAGGAACTAAAAAGTGCCACACTCCAAATCTGTTTGAAAGAATGAAGTCTATCAGGTCCGCTAGTTCGTTATAAAACTTTTATTTAAATAATAATTTTAATAAAATATTTTAAATAAAAATTTAGTTATATTAAATTTATTATAATAATTTTATTAAAACAAATTCGAAAAACTAATCAACCCGTGTGAATAAAGTAAAAAAATATGAATTAGAAAATTTTAATTATTATAATAATTTTATTAAAATATATTCAAAAATCTGTTCATTACTTATATAAGTTACTATTTTTAATACTTTTTAACTTGTCTCCCAAAAAATTTGATTGGGAAAAAATTTGTGCAAAATTGGGAAAAAACTCCTATTCCCATGCGATTCAGAATAGGGGTGCATAAATATTTGCAAAAAACATGCGTTAACTAAGTCATTTAATTTAGAACTAAACTGTAATAGACTATTGAACCGAAATAGAAAATAATTTATAGACAAACATATATATATTTAAAGTGAGCGATGATTGAAAGTTTTTTTCAGCTCCAGTAGTCAAAGTAGTAATTTTACAAACATTTCAATTGTGAATTATATGGTCCTATTTTAGTGCTAAAATTTCATACAATAATGGAAATTTTAGAAAAAAAATTTAAACATTTATTTCACCGGAAAGTCATATAAACTAGCATCTACCATAATATAATATAATAGGGGTATACAGACGTATCTCCGAAACTCGGTACCTGTGTATTCGGTAACGTTATAAAAAAAAGCATCTAAAACCACTTGTTCAATTCTTCTTCGGTAAAGCGGTAAAATTGAATTATCAAAACAGCTGATATTATTTTTATTTATTATACAAAAGCAAGAAAAAGAGGAAAAAGTAAAATTAAGCTTGAAGTAAAACTGAAGAGAAATTAGTTTATTTAATTTTTTTATATCTGTTAGTGTATTTATGTTTTATTATATTTTTAAACACTTCAAATATTATATTACATGTAAATTTAGTGCAATATTTCACAACAATAAGAATTAGCTGAGGTTTTACCCAATACCGAAGAAATGATCACACTTGCTGTTTCGGTAACTCGATAATATCGTAATTTCACAAAAACAAATACACATAAAATTATTTGCTACCGAGCAAGTCTGAATACACCTATATAAAATAATATTATGGATACATGTTATTCAAAATTTGTTATCAGCTTGGTTTGAATTAATTTTATTATTTAAAAAAAATAAAATGGAAAATAAAAATAACAAGAATTATTATTTGTGAAGAAGTAATATTAAACATATTTTGTGAGTATTTTTTTTTACTACTTTACATACATTTACAGCAGATTTAAAATCTCGAAATAACAACTGTTATAAGACAGAAGGGAGAGATAAGATAGATGTCAGCCGAAATTTTTTCACGTACCACAAAAACGAGAGTAATGCATCTAACCCAAGTTATAAAGGTTTAAAAAGAAGTTCGTTACACAAATTTTTACAATCAGAATTTTTAAAAGTGAAATTAAGAAAAGAAACAGTTTTGCAGGCTTGTGTAGAATTTATTACCATTATTGGGTGTTCATTTGAAATGTTGGAGTATTCAGGATTAAAACGAATAATGGACCCAATAGTGACTGATATAGCTATAGCATATATAGATACACCTGAGACGGCTTCTAAAATTATAACTAAACTACGTACAGCTTTAGATAAGAAAAAGATTTGTTTAAAAGTTGACATAGCTACTCGACTAAATAGATCAATTTTGGGAATCAATGCACAGTTGATACTATGGAAAAATAAATTTGTTTACGTTGGGAATGATGGAATGAAAAGATAAACATACGGGAATTTACTTGGAAAACTATAATACATATTTATGCACAGCAAATCTATTCCATTATTTCAGATAACGGAACGAAATATGATTTGTTTTGTAAATACTTTAGGAATGGAAATAGAAGAATATTCTCCTATTGAAAATGAATGAGAATCTAACGATCACTTAGATGAAGGCAATATTTTCGGAAATAGCTTGGCTTTTAATAGCCTTATAGTCCTTATAGGACTAGTAAAAAAATTGCATATTCCAACACTTATGTTAAAGTTCAAGAATGTTAGTGTTGAAAGACCTTCTTATATTGTCGAACTAGATGGAATAGCACAACAAAATGCTCAGAAGCTTAGTAGATTGTAAACTCTTTTGTTTTTCTTTAGCGGAAAGTGATTTAGATTATTTTTGAACGGAGAAAGAATGAGAGAAGATACAATTAATTGTAGACACTCTGCATGGGTTTGCAGAAGCAAAAAAACAAGCAGTATCATCTACTCAAACCCATAACGAAGTTGTAGACGACTTAGAGATTTTTTTAAGAAGCAAAGAATCAGCAATACAAAAACATAGCTCTTGTATTACAATAGATGTGAATATGGAGCACAAATTTGTTGTTAGGTACGACACTACGCTGTAAAATATTTTTGTCGTATTGATGAATTTCAAGTTGCGCCTCTTTTTAAGAGGGTGTGCGATATGATTAACAAATAGTAACAAATTATTATATTGCAAATTACTCTCAAAAGAGAGTAATTTGATATCGTAGTAAGATTAAATGTATTCAATACGTGTACCAAAAAATAAAAAATAAATTTTGTTTAGCAAATACTTTTCGTTATGCTTGAAGTAGGTGGAAATTCCGTTCTTTGAAAGGTAGAGTCGCACAAAAAATTTCATTGTGGTTACTTAAAAGTAACCAGTTTTCATGTTTTGAATAATATTATTGTGAATATTGGCACGAGAAGAAGCAACATATCAATTGTAATATTTACTCACCTGTGGAAAAGATAAGTTTTTAACTATAAATTATTATAGTTTTATAAGTAGTAAGTGAAACATATTGATTAATTGAAATGTCTGCACAGGCTGAAGGTCAGGGTTTGCAACAAAAATCCAAGCGACCTGCTGGTAGGTTAATAAAATTTCTATAAGATATTGTAACATAAATAGTGACTAATGTATTGATTATTTTTATTTTAACCGTGTTACCTTGTATGTCTTGCATACAGATAAGAAGTTACAAATAGACTCTCCATATGACTAATGAAATATTAATAAATATATCCCACACATTTTTCGTTTAGACTCGGCTTTTAAGCAGCAGCGTTTACCTGCCTGGCAGCCAGTATTGACTGCTGGAACAGTATTACCCACATTTTTTATAATTGGGATACTCTTTATACCAGTTGGCGTTGTACTACTTTATTTCTCAGATGAAGTAAGCGAGCATGTCATAGATTACACCAACTGTAATAAGATTGATCAAATCAATTTGACATGCGCCCAATATATTGAATCGAATCCCAGTAGCCGCTGTGAATGCCAAATTAATTTTAACCTTACTAATGATTTTAATGTAAGTTTTTCATGCTTGATGTTAATGAGGGTGGAAAAACATTTAATTTCTCGTGTCTATTTTTTAGGGCAATGTTTTTATGTATTACGGACTAAGTAACTATTATCAAAATCATCGACGTTATGTTAAATCCCGCGATGATGACCAATTGTTAGGGCGTCTATCCCTAACACCGTCAACAGACTGTGTACCTTTTGCTTATACAGATGAACAAGTCCCGATTGCACCCTGTGGAGCCATCGCAAATTCCCTATTTAACGGTAAAAATGTAAAATCTTTTTTATGTTCAGAAAGTGGTTAATCATCAGTTTTATTAATGTTTTTAAAGACACATTGACTTTACATTACGGTAGTGAAGAAGTTCCATTACTCAATACTGGCATAGCATGGAAATCCGATAAAGATACCAAATTTCATAACCCACCCGGAAATCTGCAAACGGCGTTAAGAGGGTTTGCCAAACCAAAATTTTGGAAAAAGGAATTGTGGGAGCTGGACCAACAAAACCCTGAAAATAATGGTTTTCAAGTAATTATTTATTTATTATTATATAATATGTGCAAAATATTTCCTAATCTTATAGAACGAAGATCTTATTGTTTGGATGCGTACAGCTGCTTTGCCTAGTTTCAGAAAACTGTACCGACGAGTTAATCATACAGCACCATTATTTACAGAAGGTTTAAAGAGGGGCATTTATACTTTAAAAATAAATTATCGTAAGGAAACAATCAAATAAAATCAAATAAACTACATACTAATTTAAATGAAATTTTTTTAGAATACCCAGTTACAGCGTTTGATGGTTCTAAGAAAATGATTTTGTCAACGACATCTGTGCTTGGTGGAAAGAATCCATTCCTTGGTATTGCATATATTGTTGTTGGTTGCATTTGTTTTTCTCTTGGTATTGCCCTACTAATTATACATCTCAAGTGCAGCAAAAGGTTTGTAATTTCTATCAAAAGTTTTATATATAATATGACATTTGAATATATCTTTCTAGTACTACGGAAATGATAAATGTTAATCCCCGCACACCGTACTCTTAGATGTTCACACAACTTTGTCTTTAATCTTTAACGTACTTTAGAAAAAACCAAAAATGCAGACAGCGTAAAGCGTTTGCTTAATATTTAGACAAAACACATACGTTTCATTAATTTAGTTTTTGCTATATTGAGCCGTAATTTTATAGAAGTTTTTGTTAAAATTTGAAAATTATTTTTACTTGTTAAATTTTAAAAAGTATTTTTACTTGTTAAATTTTTTTAAAATATTTGTACAAAAAAATTAAAATGAGTAAATAAATATTTGTCGGAGCAGGTTGCTGTGTTCTTGTTGCCACATCGATGTTTCAAAAACAAGCTATTTTCATTCTATAGCCCAGTGAACTTCATATAGAGGCTTATGTTATTCGATGCGACGATAATGGATTTTTTGAGTTTATAACAAAGAACCGCTATTGTGGTAGATGGTCCTGAGTAGGTGATTTCAACATAATCCGATTTATAAAAACAAGAAGGATATTAATTTGATTTTTGGCAAATTAAGAAATAGAAAGATTGCTTGTTCTTAAATTAAATATTTGTTGGCATGTGGTGTAAATAATGAACTCCAGTAATACTAAGTCCTACAGTTTCATTTGCAGAGTTTTGAAGGCCAATTTTTAGCGCAGTAATTTAACTTTACGCGCCAATTACGTCGTGAGCATAAGCACTCGGACCTTTTATATCGATTTCATTTGCAATGTACACGGTGTGACCCCCATTTCAAAACCAAAATAAATAAGGAAAATCTGTGTACTCAAAGAGACGCAAGCGCAGTAATTCTTACGCTAAGAACCTCATGTGCTTACTTGAGTAGAGGAGTGTTTGGGGAGCGCCAATAGAAAATACTATTGCTATTTTGATGGCAGCACACTGAACCTGTTTTGATTTTGCTTTGGTGCAACGTAAAAAGGATATAATTCGGAAACCGTCAAATTGAATTATTATTTCAATATTTGACAATGTGAATGTGAATGTGAATATGAACAGTAAGTGAACAAGATATTGGCTATAAAATACAAGTTATTAAAACAATAAGAAAATTCTGGCTGACTATTCGGGCAATAAACACAAAATATGTACAACTGTTTATATAAGTTCCTCGCCATGTGGACATAGAAGCCTTCTCAGTACATAGGCAAGAAAGTATATGGAATATTTTATGTACAATAGTGCAGAGGTGTGTTTTGAATGCATCTGTGTACTTGCACGTGACCTAATAAAAATAATCGGTTTATTTTGCACGCAATTATATAAAAATAGAAAAATCATGGTATATTTTTTTGAACAGAAAGTTTATATTTTGCAAATAAAATCATCTAAATCATCTATAATACATGTTATTAAATAATGGAAAGAACATGAAAAAACTTTCCCGATTTGGGAGTTTCAGGTGACCTTGTTTTGCCTGCATTGGCGCAGCAATTTATTAACTTATTCTTATTCCGATCACAATAATCAAATATTTAAAGTTATCAACAATAATAATAACAAATCTGGGGCACTAACACCTATTAAGTGTATCGTAGTCCAGAGGTTCCCAGGACTTTTTGCTTCAAACTGAACAATTAGTTAACTGCTACTTTACACCTACTGTAAAAGAATATATAATCAGTGTTTTATAAAATCATGGCAGGCTTCATATTTCGAAGATCATTTGTGAATTGGAAAAATATTCAATGCGTTTTGTAAAGACGGGTGCCAATATTTTCCAAATTAATTTGGTGAAAGGTAAAAATGTGTTATGTATAAAACTTTATCATTTTTATTTAGTTAGAGTATAGCAAAGAGTAAATGAGGGCTATGAAGCTAACATTCTTGAAACCATTGCAGTTTTTAATTTTTTTCTAAGAAAAATATATACTGTATAAGTAAGTGGCGTTAATGGCGCGGGCCGGCAGAAATACTGTTCTTAGAAATAAGTTTACGTATCCCATTGAATTCCATATTTATAAGGTTGTGGTAGAAACGTAACAGATTCCATTTTTGCGGACGATAGTATGAAGTGCTTCCAATATGTCGAAGCTGATGAGGACATGCATTAATAGACAATAAATTAATATATGAAAAATTATAAATTAATAAAATGTAATAAAAAATGATTCCAAAGAACAATATATTCATAGTATTCATAGTGTGTATTTACTATGAATTCATTATAAATTTTAAATAAAATAAAAACATATTAAATTACTTAAATTATCTAATAGCTCACAACGAAGTGAGTTTCTGAAATAATTCGATATTTTTACAATCATTCTTCGAAGATAATAAGAACCTTAGAGATTATGATTTAATCTTTTGAATATTGATAATTATCCTAAATATGTCCAGAATTTCATAAAGAAATCCTGAATGGACCTATAGAGATGGATGAGTCCGATATGACGACAAGCGGTGATAATTATGTCTGTGGTATTATTGGCAAAGAGTATTAGTTTAAGTGAAAAAACCACTAAGGCTTATAAAACGGTTTGGTGTAGTACCTCGGATTTAGCGAAAAGCCACGCGTCTCCCAATTAGGTAAAGGTAAACTAACCTGGCAGTTCTATGAACTCGGCTAAATCCCTAATTTTGTAGGACGAGACGAGACTTCGTTTAGGTCGGTAAGAAAAGGGACCGCGAAGATTTTAGATCATCTTCTAGCTAAGAATGGACACTGACACATGAGGTGAATCACAGTTTCCTCTTCATTCTCAGAGCCACAACCTCGATAAAAGTCATTATAAGGTAGACCCAGCTTCATAGCATATCTTTCCATTATGCAGTGACCCGTCGGAGCATCCATGAGAACATAATTTCTAGAATAACAAAATGATGTAACTTTGAATCAGAATAATTATCTTTACCTTTTTTAGTTGTTTTTTTTTAAACGAAAAAAAAAACCAAACTCACATAATGGGGAAGCGCATGAGAATATGGCCTCAAATGTGGATATTTAATTTTATAAATATTAACCGTAGTTGCGAAAGTGAATGTAGACCTACATAGCAAGCTTAGATTATAGTATAATCTAACTTATTTCCGTCATTTACGCTGCATGAAAAAACGTTTCAACACGTGTTGAAATATGTATTCTGTGAGGTTTATAAAGATTCTATAAGTGAACTAAGATATAGTAAAAGCAGCAGATCTTCTAACTAAACTTAGAATATATGGTACTTATGGTACCTTTCCGATAGAAAGATATGTGCGGTAAAAATATGACACCTATTAACACACACCAGTTATTTTTATTTTACAAGAATTAACAGTTACTTTGCACTAAAACACCAAAAGCACTAAGTGATTCTCGGTGTACCGTACCGCATCTGTCCAAGTACTGTTACTTATATCGTTATCTCATGATGTGTGATATTGTGCCGCACCCTGGTATGCGTTTGTATGCACTTGGCTTAAATCACTTTGAGACGGGTCTGAAATAATTGTCCACTTGTAGGGGTAAAATGTGAATAGATCTGAGTGAATTGAACAGAGTTGATTATTATTTTTATAAAAACCGCTATTGATATCGGAATTTTATAGTCTAAACTGAAAATGTTTAGTTGTATACTTAGATTGACAGCGGCACAGCGGCACAGCGGCGTAAGTACCACTAAGCCGTTATTTACATTACTTTAAAATTGTTTTTTCTTTCGAATTGTGAAAACTGCTAACCGCAGCGCGCCTCAATCCGAATGTACTGATATCGCAAATTCATATCTATAATTTAAATTTTTTTTTAAATTTGCGATAAGTTTATTTTAAGTCGGGTTTCGAACAATGAGTTTTCAAAATGGCGTAAGAAATGTACACAGAAAAGAAAATATATCTTAAAACTGTTGGTATTAAATGCAGCTTATCTGTGTACTAACAGAGAAATGTGTAGGCGTGGCTTGCTGATAAGCGACTAAATTCATTCAATCCGGTTATATGCGAAATGGGAAGTGTTATGCAAATACAAAATAAATTAACTATATTTATTCTTATCGTTCTTTCATGAGTTTGAGAAGGAAAGCAAAAAATTTAATGCTGAGTAGATAAAACATTACATATAAAATCGGACTTGAGTAATATCTTAGCAGTCGTTAATCGTCAACCCGTGCGTTCAAACGCGTGGAAATTTATACTATATTCATGTTCAGATTACAAGACAGTCCATCACTTGGCAATCTAGCTATATTTGGATGTTAGCTGCCTTGTGAAGGGCTTCCTTGTGATAGGCAAACAACATTTAAGTGATATGATCAGTTATTAAATATAGAAATCTTTAAAAAAATTCTAACTAAATTGGAGCATTGTAAAAAAAAGTTCTTGTATAATAATTATTGTAAAAAGTATTTTCCAAAAACGAAAATAATCGTCATAACAATGGAAGAAGTTCTTAGAAGTAAAATGGAAAATGGAAAATGATTCAAATGAATCAAATGAAAATGTATCTAAGTTTAAAAACTTAGATACACATTCACAGCGGGTCATAATTAGAGCTGAAGTGAGCTTTGATATACAAGGCCGCCCGTCCAACCTAACCTAGACACTGAATTCTGTATCTAACAAGGATTCTAGCTTTCCGTAGTATGTGGAAAATCTTGATTAATGTATGTAAATTAAGTTAAGTTATTAAAACTTTATAAAGCCTAGTACTAAATTTCATTTAAAAAATGTTTTTTGTACAAAATTTTTATATGTGGAGTTTTATGCAAATATAAAGTTAAAAAATGGCAACGGAAAAAATGTGAAATATGTTATAAAGTGGAGCTGTGCCGGTTCTTTAGTTGTGCCAGAGTCACTCATTCATATATATCCAAATAGAAAATATATAGCCAAATATATATATATATATATACTTTATCTTTTAGAGTTATGTGATAGCAGTTTTGGTAATTTATGATAATTTGTTTATTTATTTTCACTGAATATGTTATTGTTCGTTTTAAATTTGTGAAATTCGTATAGTTTTCTGAAAATACAAAGAAGTTTTATAAATATATTTAACTTATTACTAAAATAAATATACTAGAGACATTTCAATACAAATTTTATTTTTAAAGTATGACACACCAATATTCGCAGTATTAAGTCTCCATTAGTGATGTTAATATTAATAAAAAAATTATAAATAAAAAATTGACTCATTAGCATAAGATACTTGAGAAGAAATACTTTCAATAGGCGATCGATTCTAAATTTTTTAAAAGTTAATAGTTGTTCGTTGAGGAATCTGCATGTATATATAATACTCAAACAAGCGTTTAGTTAAATTATTATAAAATATATATTTTATTATACAGGGAATGGCAATCGATCAATCGATTGAAATGTATATGAAGTATTTTTTTTAAAGAAATTACTGAAATAAGCCTTAGCACATTTTTTTTAACACAATTTTCTATCATCACGTTTGAAAACATGCAAATGTAGGTTTTCATTGAAATTGTTCCAAAGTAAAAGCAAATTATACGCTTGAAAATTTGCAAGTGTTAGAGATCGGGCTCGACACCATTCTAGATATCCAAAGTAATCTTCAGTTGGAAATATTTTTTGTAAATTCTTTATGTGCGTGGAGATAATTTCGACGGTTAGTCCAAAATAGAATCGGAACTTTTTCGAGGCATAAAAAATGTATAAAATATTATATAAACCAAATATCAGTCAAAACTATTTCTATTTAAAATAAATAGAAATTAAGTCAAAAACTTGAGTTATTAAAAAATTATTTATAGAATTACGCGCCATTTTGTACTAAATTCGCCATAAACTCTTACAACCCATTTAAAAGGCATTGCAAACAATGAAACACAGTTGCAGTGTTACTGACCAGTGGGGCACATTTCTGGATTTCCATTGGTAAATCGTGGAAACTTTTTTAATCGAGATTCACTTTTAGTACAATTATAATTTTCAGTTGATGTCTCGAACGAAATGTATTACACTCGATATTATTTTATAACACTCGATATTAATTTATAACGTTCTAGATATTTTGTCAGAATAGCAAGATTACCCTGAAATTAATAGCTGTTTTATATGACTTAACAAATAAAATGTGATTTGATTCGATATATGTATCTATTCCTAAAAAATATACATATCTACTACTACAACTGCAAATATGTCAGATTACTCTGAAAATGTTTAATTCGGTAACAGATCGAGAGTAAATCTAGGTTGAAACCGGATTTACCAATTGAAGACTTCATTAATAACTTAACTAAAAAAAACATGAAATAATAAGCGTAGAACAAAAGAAAACATAAATGTTGTTAGTTAGACGTATAATTTTTTTTGTTAGGGTATTTCTTAGTAAAATGGAAACTAAAAAATTATTGAAAAAGTAAATTATTTGCACAATACCTCATTTTAAAGAGATTAACTTAAGCTTTAAATTAATATTTAAGTATCCATACCTTGTTTGGCATTTTTATGTGAAATCTTGTGACGCAAATCAGAACAAATTTTGTTATAAAAATTTGTAAAATCTCAAAAATGTAAAAACTAACTAGTCCATGTGTAACAGTTTGAGTAGTATTGAAAAATGCTGAAGCCATGTAAGCAATAATATATGTAGAACTTTTTTCATGCTTGCTGGCTTCAAGATATTGATAAAATAAGAAACTAGATTCATTTTATATTCGACACATTTGTATCTTATTAACTCGAACAAGTTACTATTGAGTACATGGAACGGGTCTGTAGCATTAAAGTCATTTTTATAAAATAAATATGAATAAAATTTTGATGTATGTATGTATAATAGGGTGCCATTAATCTTCGAAAATTGGAGAATTTTCCGCGGAACCCCAGATCGGTTCATTTTGCTAAAAAAATAATCTGTAAAAAATTTTCAATTGGATAAGTGGAAATGGCGCCCCAAGAGCACCAAAGTTTGAAAAATAACCATTTTTCCATAAAATTCATATATGATTGCTTATATATCCGACATATTTAATTTTACATAAAAACGGTTTTCTTAAAAGTTATAGATCTATTAAAAATAAACAATTCACTCATACAAAGTTTTTCTGTATTTCTAATAGTTATTGAATAAAAGAAAAAATTAGCAGAAAGCACCCAATTGAATTTAGGTAAGTTCTATGAATGCATTTGCCGCATGACTGTATGTTGTTTACTAAATTTACTAACATTTGGATAGTTATATACATAGATGAGTTTCTGTGTTATTCATTAGAATACGAAGTGAATTTTATAATATCTTATCGTCCTACTTTTTAAACTCTCAGCTGCTAAAACTCATTACTGTAAAACAATTCAAAGTGATTAGATCAAAAAGTGTTGTCGAGAGGTCTTCTTTAAATTTTCGTAAAAATATATATCTTGTTGATTATCATTATAATGGGTTGCCTGGTAGTAAATTACCATTAGCGGGAGGGTTCCATGTATGGCCGAGATCACCAAGAAATTCGAAGAGAAACAAGAAGTGAAGAAATGAATCAAATAATTTTACAAAGAAGAGAACGCTGCGTGCGGCAACTGAAAGAATTAGGTAAGTATTCCTTGCTTGATCTCCCAGAAAAGAAATTAAATTATTGTAACATTTTGATTAGAAACTGTGTCATTGCCGATATCATCAGAAAGTGAAAGTTCTTCTAGTGATAACGATATTACACTTAAATTAAACTATTAATTAATAGTTTAATTTTGAAATGGCGGTTACACCTACACCTATGTAAAAGATCAAGAGAAAATTTAGAAATTGCAGATCAGAAGATTGGAGCTGTCTTTGATGCTTGCAAAATTAGTGATCGTAATGCCGGTTATCTTAATATCGCCATAATTGAATAAAAATTCCGTACGCATTGTTCGACAATACTTACGATCACAAAGAGTAGAGCACTTAAAAAAAGTTCAAAATTTGTCTCAAGTGGGTCTGTTTAGTAATACTTGAAGTGTCTGCAATAAAAAATGGTACCGGAAGAGCACAGGCATCTATTTGTAAATCAATTTTTAAATGGGGTTTGCAGGATCACGTGCAAGCTTTAGTTTTTTATACGACAGCAGTAAACACTAATCATTTTAACGGAAGTTGCTCAGTTATTAAAAAACGTTTAGAAAAGGATCTTTCATATTTAGCTTGCAGACATCATATTTACGAAATTATTCTTAAAAGTGTTTGTCATGCTAAGATATTCAAGTCTGAAAGCTTAAATGTTTAACTATTTCAACGAATTTAATTTTCACAAGTTTTGGTCAAAAATAAACGTTGATGTCGGAGATAACCAGAATTAGTACCTTTTATTAGAGTAAATATTAAATTATAGCAATTTTTGTAAAGCTGAAGCGAGCAATTACATTCATAGCACTTGCAAACTTAGCAATCGGGTGCTTTCAGTAAATTTTTTCTTTTATTCAATAACTATTAGAAATACAGAAAAAATTTGTATGAGTGAATTGTTTATTTTTAATAAATCTATAACTTTTAAGAAAACCGTTTTTATGTAAAATTAATATGTCGGATATATGTATAAGCAATCATATATATTTTATTTATGGAAAAAATGGTTATTTTCCAAACTTTGGGGCTCTTGGGGCGCCATTTCCATTTATCCAATTGAATTAAAATTTTACACAGATTATTTTTTAGTAAAATGAACCGATCTGGGGCACTCTAATGTATATCTTTAATAAAATTTTAATACTTTTTAAAATTTTTCATCATATGAATAAACTCAATAAAAAAACAATTTTCGCAACTGTTATATACTAATTATTATTCATTATTAATATTTTAATGGGATATTTCATATATTTAATTAATAAATATCAAAAATTTTAAAATTACTTTTCTATATGAAGTAAATATTTTTATTTTACAAATTCTTTACCTTATTTAAATCTTTTTAGTTTACTTTATTATTTATAAGTTTGACACCAGTTTATAGAAAAAGTTTCTGAACTCTACAGGCGAGAATAAAAAAGTTTGAAATGTCAAATTTCGTTAGAGAAAGATTTAGAGAGATTTATTGGTCAACTAGCATTTCTTTCGGCAGTCTAATGTTGGGCTATTGTCACATACATATATTTTATATTGTGAAATTATATAATTAAGATAGAAAAAAATTGATGTTATGGAATATCACAAATTTCATGATCGATAATACAATCAATGTGTTGAAGATAAAATGATTTATATTTTAAAAGCAATATTTTACAAATTAAAACATTTGTTTTAATAAAAACAAAGGTCTCAATAAAAATTGAGACCCTAAGAGAACCGGACAGGAATGAAATAGAATTTCCTTAACTTTGTTATATCGTATTTGCGTTATTGTTTTTATGGCATTGTGTTCATTTAACCGTAAAGACAAGTTGGATTAGATTGGAGTAGCGGCGTTGCACACAGTCTACTTGAATACACGCATAAAAATGTTTATACCAGACCAAGAGACGATTGAAACAGGTATAATGACCTAAGCTGTGTGCACTTAGACAATGTCGAAAATAACGGGAAGAACCTCTTTATTTAAGTAAAAGTGAATCAACCTGACAAGTCAATAAACTTGACTATGTTCCTTATTTGAAAACAAGACAGCTCTGTCAGATCGGTGACAAAAGCGCCCAAAAATATGAAATATCTTACTGTTAAAATGAAAGTTTTCTGTTATTTTTTAGAGCCTCAACCACGGAAAAAGTCATTACAAGACTTGGTTTAACCAAATATAGCTAATAACGTTTTACTGAATACGCTCCGATTTAGTTAAAGCGGCTAACTTGTATGTTTTATGTCTTAAATGTATAAATTCTTATAGTTTGAATCCTCATCTACACATACTTTTTAGCTATCGTTATATATTTTTGTTTAGTAGCAAGTTTAGCAAAAACAAGTTATATATTGAATTTTTCCTGTTGTCCTGCAAAAAATACAGAATTATTGTCTCCGTCCAATAATAATTAATTAATTCAATGAAATTCTATTAAAACAGCTATTGAAACCAATGATAGGTAATTTTATATTATTATAATGATAGGAACATAAAAAATTTTTAATTATAGTTTTTCACTTAATTCAATACACAAATTAATTAAGCATGACAGAAATTAATTAATAATAACACAAACACAATATAACTGCTAACATAATTTTAATGAAAAATGCAAATACAATTGTTAGTTGTAATTGTAATAAATTATTTTATTTTGTTTTAGCTTAAATTTATTTTTATTGTTATAATGTAAATACATGTCTAATACAAAACATGTATACATATATTTTTTAAAATTATTCATATATTTATGAAAAAAAACTAATTGTTAGAAAAAAAAACTAATTGATAAATTGTTTAAGTAATCTCAACAAACTAAATTTCACATTTTTTTATTTTTGTACACAATTAAACTGAAAATAATTTTAATTGCATTCAAAAACATTTGACGTGACTTTTGAAATCGAAAACTCATAATATGGCAACTATGCTGTACGGAAACTGTATTATCGACTTCAAAGTAAATTTCCAATTAGAACAGCAACACAAAAGGAATTCGTGAAGAATAGGAAAAATGAATGCATTTACCCTCTGTTCTATTCTCCCACTCTGTTCGTTTTGTGCTATTCTGTAAGATATATTTTCAAATCGCGAGAAAATGTCGATTTTTCATGAAAATTTAGTAAAATCTTAAAGTGGCTTCATAATTCGGGAGTGTTGTGTGTAATTAATGAAATCGATGAATTTTGTTATAAATTGTCAACAAAAATTACACGCAGGTGCGTACGCAGTCGTGAAGATAAATTTACTGGGCCTGCTCCGCTAAAATAACGAGAAATTTGTCTATAAGATCCCAACAAATCGAATGTAAAATTGAATCGATTAATACAAGTGATAAACTGTTAAAATAATTTGTTGCGAAATAAATATCAACTTTCCGAGATTTCTTGAGTTATTTAACCAACACAATATCAATTGCTGTGCGATTTTATTTGCTTTAATAATGTATGTATACTCAGGTCGCTTTCGGGGTGGTAGTTGGCAGGAGCGTGATATCTTTTACCTAGAAATTAGTTGCACTAGAAAGGTATTTAGAAGAATTTCTTCAAAGGAGCAGAACACTTGCGATGAGATGCTTTATTTTATATTGCTTCGGTCCTTTTGACATTTTGTTGCCAGCACAATGAGTTGTCGTTGCTGTTGCTGTCGCTGCTTTAATGCAACTGTCACTTAAACTATTTCTCTGTCGCTTAGGAGTTCTTACCGATGCATCTGCGAATGTCCCGAATCCATGCATGCTCAATGGGCACAGTTGCGGCATGTTAATCAGTTGCTATCTGGCAGTATGGGGAACTCTTGTGTGGTGTTTTTTATTCTTTTCCGGCTTTTTCGCTTGCCCAAAGCGCAGGACGTATTTTTTGTATAAGGGAAATTTGCCATCAAACGCAGGCTATAAAGTAAAAAAGAAAAATTTTTAACATCCTCATCATGTGCAATTGTAAGATTTTTCTGCTAGTAATTTACTAATATATTTAGCAAAATATGTAATTTAGGAACTCATAAAATTTGCTTTGAATATATGGCATACGTATTCGTATTAAACCAAGGTGATAAGCGGGATGGGTAGTGGTTCTGCGTGTACATAATTTAGAGTACGCACGCTCACGTGCATTTTTAATAGTTTTTAATACGATTAATGCGCTGCCACTACGAGATCAGTGGAGCCCATTTACTCAAAGAACCGCACGCAAATGTCATTCACCCTGAAATATATGCGTACCATACACCACCAAAGTCAACATCGCACAATGGTTTTAGATACAGTACAACATGTGTACGAATATTGATTTCTTGTGTTGCTTTCCTGCCTGCGAGCTCTTCTCAGATTTATTGCTGTCTCTTTTTCGTTTTCCCTGTTCTCACTAAAAATAATGGCCAAAAACCAGCAACAATAACAACAAAATAAAGCACGCAAAGCACGAGGGGGTGAACTTCTTTGCGTGTGCTTCTTTGCGATTACAGCGGTGGCACATGAGCAATGCACTTTAAAGACGAAAGTGTAAAGACTACGATTTTATTCTAATTTTAGAAAATAATTATAATTTGAAAAAGAAGTAAAATCTTTTCATTACAAATGATTTTTCGATGCTGTGTGTGTACTACGTTCCCAGCTTGTGTACATGCCTTATTTTGCTACGTCGTTTGAAATGCACTATCTTTTTATTTGTGTTTACACTTTTTTAATTCTGCCATATCGGCTTTACAATCCTTCTTGTCGGTTTTGTGGGTGGATAGAAAAGTTGTGGTATCTGGATTTCTGATAATAATAATCAGTACAAAATTTTAATTTGGTCAGAAGACTACTTATTGAATAACAAAGTTTCCTATCGCTACAACATACTGTGTAGAGTGAGATGGCGTATCGAATGCCCGAAACATTGGCAATGGTCTGTCAGTGCCCAGCATGCAAATACAAGAAGAATGATTTGATTTGCCGACCACTTAAGTATAAATTTATATGTCGTACTCAAATTCGTTATTTTCGAAGTACATACGTATATAATATAAATATATCCATTTTATTCAGTATATAATATTTTACTTAGGAGTAAAATAACTGCACCATTAGGTCTCGAAATATTTGAATGTTAAATAGAAATATCGCATCTTTTTCATAAAAAACAAGAAATATAAGAAAAATTTATATTTGTGTATTTATCAATGTTAGAAACCGACCTCAAATTAAATCTTACCTATTATAAATATTTTAATTAATCATAAAATCCGAGTAACAACATTACTTAGATCAAAAACCCCGAGAGCAAAAGCTAAAGGGAATGACCGTTTTGCGCGCTGGGTGTGCACTCGCATTCTGTGTACATTAATTCTGTGCAGTGAAAGCACAGACGCAAGTGAAGTTTTCTTTCAATTGTGTGTTGTCAGCTAAGTAAGGGTGTCAGAAACCAGTGTGCCATGCGTATCCAAAGCAGACAGCGAAGAATCATCCCTGTGTTTATGCAATTGCTTTTGCTTGTGTAACTTTTATTGATTGGAGTAGGGTGGAAATCGCGGTGGTGACTGTGTTGGCGTTGGCTCTGTAGTTTTAGCCCTTGTTTTATCTTTACAGTAAACTTATACATACCTGACGCATGCAGTATTGATTTTTCCTGCGTCTGCCTATTGTGCTCAGTTTGTGGTGTAGTCTAACAATGAGTGGAAGTCACATATTAGCAGTGCGTTTGCGTTAAAGATTTTATATATATTCAAATTAATAAACAAATCTTTTTATTTTATAGAAGTAAGAGGAAATTTATTTAATTTTATAATTTATTAGATGTGCATTTTCTGTTACTAGTGCGGTGGAACCTTTTTTATTATAGGCTCTATAGATTGAATAATTTATGTACATATATTTAATGGACTTTACACAAGAGTAAAAGGCGAAAGACGCAATAGCGCAAGCGTAAATGTAGTATTTCTAATAAAATGGTGTATAGCGGGAATATTATTCTTTAAAGACATTATTATTAAATATTTCATATGTATTCATACATTTACAAAGGAGTTTTGGTGCTAAAAGACTTTTTAGCTCATATTTTGAAGTATGAAAGGTCCATGTCCTTATAGTTGAAGAGACTTCTAACAGTTTTCGAACAATAGAGAGCCATTAAATTAGTATGATGACTGTAATCACGATCAAAGATATGTATGCAGTGTGTCATATTTAATACTTAAGGTAAGGGTCGGTTACTATTTTATTGGTGCTGTAATGTGGTAACTGATTTTTGCAAAGTTCATCATTTTCGAACAACTTTTCACAGCACGTTTTATGTCGATATAGCTTTGATATCGAGATACTCTGATTTGAATAGGTATACAGATAACAATCAGACGCGCTATCTAGTGGCAACAAGTTCATATAATTTTTATTTCATACAAACTATGAATGAAAACAACAACGACTCCCACAAATGGCGAAACTCAGTATAAAAGTTATGAGTAATGAGTTTCAAACTCTTGGCGTGTATAGGGTGTTTCTGGAATATGTAATCGTGTATGGTGGTCGTTGCATTGATGTTTTTATATTTTAAGACAAATTTAAGTGCCTTGTTCAAATTAAAAAATAAAATATGCCTCATAAAGATGTAAGATTAACAAGATATTTTTGAAAATGTGTATTTTTTGTTACGAAATATGACCAGATTATAAAATAATATAATTTACTTAAATTAAAAATGTGAATTTGTTATATTATGAAAAAGAGAATAATTTCAAATACTTTTTTCTTCTTTACAGTTTTCTAATCGCTGTAGTTGGCTTTTTTACTTCAAGTGAGCTTACTCTCAACTCTTCCAATCCTTCTGTAATCAAAAATAGAGTAACTTTCCAATCAATTGTGAAAGTATACTTTGATTTAGAATTTGTTTAAACTTAAAGGAAAACGAGTTAATAATAAGAGTGTAATTCCCATTACATTCAAATTTAGCTACTTAATTATGAATGTCACTACGGTGTCAACTGGAACTGACTGCACAACACAACACTCGGTTGCAACAGCCATAAATACGAAGTCATATAAGATTGAAATGATTGACGATGGTCAGTTAAGTATGGGATCTGATGATGACGACGAGGAAATGGATAGTAGTGATGGGAGTATGTACGGAGATGGGGATTTGGCTCATATGGCTGCTCAAGACGATGTTGCTAATCAGTTAGCTGCTGCTGGACCAGTCGGTGTGGCTGCAGCAGCTGCTATAGCTTCATCCAAAAAGCGTAAACGTGCTCATTCATTCGAAACAAACCCATCGATACGCAAGCGTCAACAAAATCGATTACTGCGTAAACTACGTGGTATTATATATGAATTTACTGGAAGAGTTGGAAAGCAGGCTGTGGTGCTGGTTGCTACTCCTGGTAAGCCAAATACAAGCTATAAAGTTTTTGGTGCAAAGCCATTAGAAGATGTGGTGCGCAATTTGAAAAATATTGTTATGGATGAGTTAGAAAATGCGCTGGCGCAACAAGCACCACCGCCACCTCAGGAAGATCCATCACTTTTTGAACTACCACCACTAATAATTGACGGCATTCCTACACCTGTCGAAAAAATGACTCAAGCACAGCTTCGAGCATTTATACCATTAATGTTGAAGTATTCGACAGGACGAGGTAAGCCTGGTTGGGGTCGTGAATCCACTCGTCCACCATGGTGGCCAAAGGAATTACCGTGGGCAAATGTACGAATGGATGCACGATCCGAGGATGACAAGCAAAAGGTGATTAAGTTTCATTGCAATAGTTCTATATATTAAATTTCTGAATTTCTAACTTCTTGGTTATAACAATTTAAATTGTAGATAAGCTGGACACATGCATTGAGAAAAATTGTTATCAACTGCTATAAATACCACGGTCGTGAAGATTTGTTGCCCACTTTCGCTGATGATGAAGACAAAGTTGGTCAGTTAATTTCCCACGCTGGCGATGAAGATGAAGACGAAGAGCCACATATAACAACAGTGCAAACAGTTACACATGTCGGCACGAACACATCAAATGTAAGTAACAAATTTTAACCAAGGAAGATTGTTTTATGCACATTATTGTGATATTATCATAAACGAAATGAATTTGAATAATAAATTAAGTTCATTGTTTAGGTTAATAAAAAAATATAAAACAAATGCTATGAATATGTATGCAGAGGTGGTGCGACTTTCCAAGTTGCCTAGAAACAAATCTGATTGCCAAACGCTTTTTAAAAATTTAGTTTTAGTTTTAGAATGCGATAAAAAAGCATTAAAGGATACCAACTTCTAAAAATATAGCAACTGTAGTGGAAATCACACCGCAAACTACAGAGGCTGTCCTATTTATAATAAACTGAAGCACAGTTTAGCTTTGCAAAAAGAAGTCTTGCGTGACCCTGCAAGAAGTACCCTCCATCAAATTAGTTAAAGAACCTTTATCTTCTAAGTCTGCTGCATCAGGTGTTTCATATGTTAATGTCGACAAGAAACAAAAAATCTGACAAGAAACAAGCACTTCCAGTTCAAAGCAATAGTTTGAAAATGATGATCTCCACCCCTACCCAGAGCTTAACTCAGTTTAAGTCAGTTGTACAAACTTGTCGTAATGAGATAGTTAAAATGCAAAGCCAATTAATTGCCTAATAAATTAGTACTTTAAAACAGTGCTAACATAAACTTGAGCTCACAAAGATAAGAAACAGTGCCAACATAAACTCGTTCAGAAACTCATCTAACAAACAAAAATTTCTTCTCTATTTCTATTTATTTATTCTATAAAACTAATCACCCTGATGGGAAAGGTGATACAGGTATTTTGGTACGAAGTTGTCTAATACACAATTTTCTAGATACATATACTTATAATTATATGCAAGCCACATCAATATGCCTTAGGCACAAAGGTAAAAATTTAACTTTGTCGGCAGTTTCAACATTACTGAGACTCAATTTACGGATAATTTCTTAAATCTAGGTGATAGATTTCGTGCAGCAGTATACTACAACGCCAAGCACACGTATTGTGGTTCAGGGCGCTATAATTCAAAACGTAAACAGGTTTATAATTCCATTCTAAATAGAAAAAATGCATTAGACGTAGTCTCTCCTGTGCAGTCAACATATTGGCCTACAGATAACAATAAGCATAAGCAGAAATTTTATGTCAACATACACAAGCAGCGATTTGTCTTCTGACCATTCTCCAGTTACATTTTGTTTACTTGAATGGTTCTCAGTTAAACGACTGTTCCTATAGCCTTACAAGTCCTAGAACAAACTGCTAAAATATAAAAAGATCATTAGTTTACACACAATTTATAAGATAGAGAATTTATGACATAGAGAATTTAGTTTTACAAAAACGTAGGTTAAGGCGTAAATGGCAAAAATGAAGTTCCTTTAGCGAAAATCTTATTAAAGGATGCCCAAAGGAGACTTAGAACTGCATTAAGCAGGGAAACCAAAGTCAGGCAATATAATTATATTCAAAACTTATGTCCAAATCGCAAAAAACATTCATCGTTATGGAATGCTAGCAAATGTATAAACTCCTCCATAGAATCTGATTCTCAAATAAAAAACTTTCTCGCGACGCGATGAAGAAAAATCTAACGCATTTGCTGATTTCCTAACAGAAGTATTCCAACCGAATACTACAACAGGATATGATATAACAGGACCGCGATATGATAACATCTCACCCATCATGTTAAAAAACTTACCTCTTTTAACCATAAATTGTATCACGATTTTTTAATGCCATTATTAAATTTGGCTTTTCTCCAACAGAGTGGAAAACATCCATGATTATAACGACTCATAAATCAGGCAAAGATCCCAAGCTTGCCAAGCTCACATTTTTACAGGCCAATAAGTTTCCTGTCATGCCTTTCTAAACTCTTTGAAAGATTAGAATCTAAGCTACAGAACAGAAAGTTTGAAGTCAAACGTTAATTATATACTTCTACTAAGTTCCCAATAGAAGCTGGAGTTCTTTAAGAATGTGTTCTTGGCCCTTTCTTGTATGTACTTTACACATCTGATTTTCCATTAAGTAGTTGTCACCACAAGGTTTGTCGATGACACGGCAATTTTATGGTGAAAGAAAAACGTTGTGTTGGCTTCAAATCAACTTCAATCTCACTTATTTTGGGTTTGAAATATGATGGTCAAAATGGCGAATTAAAATTAATGAACTAAATTGTGGACACGTCATTTTTACCTTAAATCGCAGTATATCTCCAAGAATTTTACTAAATAACACTCCCATACCACAAGCAGGTAATATAATTTACTTAGGTATTCACCTAGACAGGCGACTAACTTGGCGCAAGCATATTGAGGCCGAAAACATTTAAATGAAGCTCCAAGCCTCTAAGTTGCACTGGTTCATTAATAACAGATTCTCTCTGTGTAACAGCATAATAAAATCAATAGGGAGTTATGGTGCCCAGCTATTTGGTAATGATGGTGCTTCAAATATTAAAATTATCCAAAGAGCTCAGTCAAAACACTGAGAACAATCACTGGTGCCCCATGATATATTAGGAATGAAAGTATCCTCCTCGAGATATACAAATTCCCTTAGTTAAAGCTTAATTTGATATTACAAGAAAAAATATAATAAAAGGTTGATACAACATGTTAACGCCTTAGCAAGGCATCTCGCACTTCTATCCATTACTTTCCGCCTAAAAAGAGCTGACCGTCCAGCCATTAATTAAAATTCAATAGATTCAAGTAAAAACCGCACTCTTCTTTTTAGTAATCTGACAAAGTTTAACTGCTTTCTTAATACACCACCTAACAATCATTCCAATGAAATTTAACTCATTGATTTAAGTGAGGTCCGTGGTGACGTAAGGTTTACTTATGTTATTTTATATTATACAATGTTTAGTTAAAATAAAAATTTGATATTATGCAATTAATGATAAGATTTTAAAACTTATTGTTAGTCTCTTTGTAAGAGAAGGTATAATAAATAGATGTATAAGTGTTTAAAAAAAAAAAACTTTCACGCCGCCACTGAATGTTTGCAATTTTAAAACAAATAGAATTCTTTTCATATATTTAATTAATTAATATATAAGTTATATATTTAATTTATATAAATCTATATAAATCTATATAAATTAATGAAATGGAGATTAGTTTTTATTTTCGGTTCGAAAATACAATATAATTAATAAAATTTATTTACGATTATCACCAATAGCAGCAAGTAAATGTTGTGAAAATAAATAGCGCAGGAACAGTAATTACGACTCATAACCCTAACTTACAAAATCATCATCCCACACCAACAATTATACAGAGTACGAATAACCAACATGTGACCACTACAGCCACTCTGCCAGCATCAACGAAGATAGAACTTTGCACAGCTCCACCTCAACAAGTGACAAACCATCACACGAGTACATCGGCGGCACAAACCCTTGCAAACGCCCAGGTTTGCATCGATCCGATAACTTTGGGAGACGTTGATGTTCGTACTAACAATAAATTCTTTTCAATTTTTAATGTTGTGGTTAATTTTTTGCTTTTATTTGTTGTTTATGATATGTAAATTTTGTTTTGAAAGTACTTTTGCTTGCTAAGTTCGCATATTAAATTCCCACTTTATAATTAAATATTTTGTTAATATTCTATTTATTTTTGATGAGTTTATTCAAAGTATCTTATGTCTAATAATAATTTTTTGTTCTGTTGCCTAATTTCTATGAGCAACTATTAGAAAGTTCGCTGTTAATCATGTTATGTTTCTTACAGTATTCGACACAAACTGTTTTGTCAACAATTCAGAATGCAGACGGGACAGTGTCACTTATACAAGTTGACCCAAATAATCCAATTATAACGTTGCCGGATGGTACAACAGCTCAAGTTCAAGGAGTTGCCACGGTATATTTGAGATAATGCATGCTCTGATAAGTTAAGCAGTTTTTCTTTTTGGATTGTAGTTGCATCAAGGGGAAGGCGGCGCTACCATACAAACTGTACAAAGCTTAACAGATGTCAATGGACATGAAAACATGACAGTAGATCTGACCGAAGCTACGGTTGCACAGGATGGACAAATTTATATAACAGCCGAAGATGGGCAAGGTATAAATAATATATATTATAAGTATATGACACTGTTTGTCTAGTTGCTAAAGAACAATTAAATGTGTATATTTTCAAATAAAGAAGTGAATATGTTTGAAAGTATTATAATAACATTAATGCATCAATGTCTTTTATTTTAGGTTATCCAGTGTCTGTAAGCAACATGATAACCGTTCCCGTTTCTGCGTCAATGTATCAATCTATGATGGCAAATATACAGCAGATACACACAAACAGCGATGGTACAGTGTGCATTACTCCGATGCAGGTACATTCAAGTAATAATAGAAATAACAATTATCAGTACTACACTTTAATGGCGGCACCAGCTACACAAATAGCGGGACAGCGACTTCAAATAGGTTCACGGAACCAAAATCATGCTAGTATATCAAATACTAGCAATAACGATAACAATGATAGTTGTAGTAATAGTAGTATTCGTAATATACGTTGCCAAATATTAAACCCATCTAGTTTAAGTAATAACTCTAGTCAGCAGAGCCACCAACCAAATCAAATCCATGCAAAATTGTTGTTTGCCAGTGCAGCTAACCTTCAATCAAGCTCAACAATAATTACAAACTCAAGTAAATTTCTAAAACCGATTTCTAAATCCGCGACAATCAAACGAGGTACCCAAAAACGCCGTAAACAACCTAAAGCTGTACCTATAAAATTAGAAGAAACCCAAAATGAGGAATTTGTAAGCATAGAAGTGTTAGAAGAATCAAAAAATGAACATAATATAAAAAATAACAATATTAATAATAATAATAATATTAATAATAATAATAATATTAATAATAATAATATTAATAACAATAATAATAGTAATAATAATAACAATAGCACTTCGGTTGAGGAAATTTTGCCTCTTAAGGCTATAAAATTAGAAAATATAGATAAATGAACCACTTTAGGGAACCCACCAAGGTGTAACAAATTATTGTTAATAAAGAAGCACTTCGACGTTGCTTGCTCTAGTCATATAGATAGTAAATAATGTTATATATGTTATATATAGTTACACATGTTAATTAAGTTACATGTTAATTAAGTTACGTCAGAATCCCACAAAAAAATATCTACACTTAAAAGATTGTAGGGAGTACTCGCTACGAGTGTCAAATATACCAAATTATAGAAATACCAAATTATAAATTTAATCAACGTTTTTCAAGTCTAAACTTGGGCAGTTGTGCAATAATGATACGAGCCGGCATTTCAAATTGACGGAGTTTAAACGATAATACTTGAGGTTTAAAATGTCTAAAAAAATTTGCCAAAAATATCTTTCAAAGAAACAGCTTGATAGTCAAACCAAATATTTTATATATTTCATTTAATAAATTATCATATAATAGTAAAGTTTAATTTAGATTTAAATCAAGTAATATATCCAAATATTGCAGATTACTCTGATTAAATTCAGATTTCACTGAATGAAGCCAATATGAAAAGAAAAATTAGAATGCTAAGAGTTACTCTAGGATCATTAGAAACTGAGTTTACCCACGGCTTTCGACTTGAATTACTTTCTAGGTTTCGTGTGTGTAAATCTCAAATAATTTGCTAATCATTAATATAATGAGTATTATCAGTGGTTCAAATACTATTCGAGTAGTTCGAAGCTTCTAGCATTTGATGTTCGCTTATTCTTATACTTGAGTATTTAGCTCCAGCACAGCCAGTCAAATGAAGATAAAAACCAAGTAGAGTTCGAGTATTATTTGTTACATACATTTCTATCTCACATCTTTGAGTAGCTCGAAGTTTTTCCAAAATTTAAGGTATTTAAATGCTCAAACACTTTGAATCACTAATTATTATATACACATTCTTCTGTTTTTCTTGCATATATAACTGACTATAAGAGAATATGATTGTCTTTACTATTTATTAAGATTTTTGGATTTATACATTGTGAGATGTATAAGATGTACAACACATACTACATACTGGTACTATCAATATTAAGTAAAATTTCGTTCAGATCGGCTTAGATGTTTTTGAAGTTAAATAGTGCATAAGAGTAAAAATCTTCGAATCCAAAAATGTTTAAAACCTATGTGTTTAAAAAAAAATTAAGACATCTTCCTTTCGAGAGATGATTTGGGATGAGTTTACACACCCTCTGGTGTGTATTCAAAAATGTCAATACGAAATGATTTTCGTAATGAACAATTCAAATGTGCAGTAAAATTTTGTTATTTCTGTAAATTGAAATGTTAATTAGTAAAACGGAAAAAAAGGTTTTTAATTTAATATTTGTATTTGTGTACACATCGTGTATACATCGTCACACATTTCCCTTTTCGCTACTACTTCTACAACTTTTTTCTAAAAGATACTGGCTATATCACTGATATATGTGCTGTGTCAACTGGTAATTTGGGCATATATTTTGATCTGGAAACTCTTATATTTGCTCAGTTTAGAATTCATTGCTTTTCTTGAAAGTAGAATTATTTGTGAGTAGTTCATCTGCTTGGCACGCATCCAGCTTCTATAGCACATCTGAGCACACGGATAGGATAGAAGTGATAGGATAACACTTGATTTCTTGCCATTTCATTTTATTTGGTATTACAAATATCGTTTTTTAATATAGTTTAATTTTTTTTGTTAACAAATCGTTTGTTCTAAAATAAACAAAAGATGAAGGTAACCCCCACTTTAATAATGTAAAAATGTTCCTAAAATTGTTATTTGATTTTTCTTTTTTATTTATAAAAAACAAAAAATGTATAAATGTTTTTATTAATTATGTTTAATTATGTTTAATTATGTTTAATTATGTTTATTATGTAGAGAATAACATATTCGTTTTAATTTTATTTTTTATTTTGCGTTAATAAATAAATTTTAATATTTAGTCTTCGCTATAAGTGAATAGAAAAAAGAAGTGCAATTAAATTCAATTTATTAACGTATGCGACTTAGTAAACACACAAAATATAAAATACTTACATGTGTATATAAAAAATATAATTAAATTTTGAATAAATTTAATATTCGTTAATATTCGTTAAGTACAGGGAATCTTTAAAATATTCACTTTTCGGAAATATTTATATGTGCAATAAATAATAATAATTTGAATAGATTAATTTGTTTTGTGTCCACAGCTTCCGATAGAAACTAAAATATTTTAGTTCAATAAAAAAATGCAATAATGCCAAAAATCTTAGAATTTAAATAATTTGTTGAAATTTATATTCGCAAAATTTTCTTTAAGTTTGTTATTATTTAAGATTAAAAGATTAATTATTTTTAATTTAAGTTTTTAGTTTAATTTGTTATATTTAATATATTTTCAATTTGTGTTGTGATGTTTTTAAAAATGTTTGCCAAATATTTTTTATTTTTTACGTATTTTCCTAAACCAAAAATTTAAATAAACAATTTTAAATAAAGTATTTGTTTTGATTTTTATTATTTTTTCAGTTCAGCACCAATTTTAAAAACACAAAAAATAATGGCTTACTTACCATAGTCGCCTTAAATCTGGTGCAGACTTGCAAGCTTGGCTATCAGTCCAGAGAGAAAAAGTACTCTGATTGAGCAAAACTGCAGCTCTGCATCTTTGAATGACGGTCAGACAACATGTTGGCGTGTTCACCAACATTTTTAGTGACTTGAGTGAGAAATCGTGACTGTTACAATGTTCAGTGTGGTCATTAGAACAATTATGTGCGAGAAGCCGACTTGACTGACCGTCGAGTTTGCAAGTCTGCACCTGCACCAGACTGGACCCGCTTCTTCATATAGCGTTACTGGTTACTTGCTGATTCCTTTTTGACATAACTATGTTAGTTTCTGATATTTTTAACCTCATTTTCATATACATGGATTATTATAAACGCCCGAATAGGGAACTCAAATCCTTTATTATGAGCACGAAGCTTTCGATAACAAAGCAATGCAATAATAAAAGGTTTCATGCGAATTCTATTCATATATAAATGATTGTACGATCATAAACTTTTCAGAGTTCTGGTAAAAAATGAGCGTTAATAAAAATGTGCAGGAATCAGTTATTGGGTATAGTTAATATGCATGAAAAAAATGATGTGTGATTCCGAAGTCCGTGGGAGTATTAAGTTTTTTTTCTGCAGTTGCAGTCACTAATTTAAAATGTTAAACTCATTGTGTGACTGCGAAATATGTTACTATTTGCATATGATAATACAATATTTAAAATATTTATATAGAATATGTACAACATTTAGAACTAATTTGATAACAGTAAACAAATGTATAAAATATGTAATTCATACATTTATAGGTTGAAAATGGCGATCAGCTCGAAACGATCACTGTATCGCCGGGAATGCATCAGATGATGATACAAGGAGCTCCAGGCACAGAACCTCAGGTTGTGCAAGTCGTTAGCTTAAAAGATGCTACGTTACTTAGCAAGGCCATGGAGGCCATAACCGGTGGAAATGTTAAAGCCGAAGACACAATTATAATGGAGCAATAAATTTTTAGAAATATTATTTACCCAACTAAAATCGGAAAATATTTCATACGTTTATTATTATATTAAGGGATAGCAACTTTTTTGTCGAGTACAATATATGTTAAGTTGAATTCGCTTTTAATTAATATAATAACTATATATCCGTAAGTTATTTTTTTTTTAATACAATTATGAAAGTACCTGAAAGGTGATTATATTTTTTGAAACTATATTATTTATATGTGTGCATTACAGTCTCTTCTCTGCATTTATGTTTTATTTGTTGCTGCTTTCCTATATATAATAAGTTGCTCAATTATATATAGAATATGTATATGTAAATTAAATATTTTATTTAAACACTAAAGTTGTGGTGACTTCCATTGAACAAATATTTTTCAAACATTTAACATTGTTTCGATTAGATAAATGATGATAGTTTGAAACAAGATTTGTAATAAGAAAATTAATTATTAATTACTAGATTTATATTGTATTTATTGTAATTTATTTTTTTGGATATACTCTATCGAAATTGTAATTTAATTGTATTCAGTGTTAAATACACAGTTTTTGTAAATAGCTGATTCACTTCAAACTTATTTTAATTGTACTGAAGGCATTAGTCTAAATTTTCTAGTCAAGTCAAGACAAGTCAAATTCGATTTGCGTTTATTCATAATTAATATTAAATTATAATATAATATTTTTAAATAGGAGGATGCATGTATAATACTACCAAGAAACCAAAGAGTTAGAACTTAATTACACGAAATATTTTTTCTTATAGTTAAAAATATTATCATAATAAAATTATATATACCTACATAATAAGTATTAAAAACTTATCTATAAAATTTGTCTGTAAATTTGTTTTAATTTCATTTAACTGCAAACTCTGCTGAAGTTGCCAGTAGGTTTAGGTTTTTTGCTTGGGCGTACCCGTGAGCGCGCGTTTGATTATTTCAGTAACTAAGATAGAATTAAACAAGCTTCGCTTATAAAGTTGAGAGCAATGAAGGCCAAACGGGGCTTTTCCATTCAGAGAAGTTGATGTTCGTTTGGTTGTAATCGTGCGATTGAAAAATATCGGATGATTATGTCGTTAATGCGGGTGTAAACTTCTCCCTTACTAATTTTAAACGTCCACGGTTGAGTCACTGTGCTTAATTTCATCTTTTGCCTCCTGAAGGGGAGCACTTCATAAAAGAAAATATTTTTTTGCTTTCATTTTTTCATTTTCTTTCATTTATCATTAAATGTTAAATAGATTAGAATTAAAATTACTGAAATTGTAAAATTACTATATCTTAATAAATAGTTATAATTATAAATACAGGGTATTTATTTGTTTACAATTAATTATAAAATATTATTTACAATATTGTTTTTATTTTTTTTTTTATAAATTATCAAATCATCAATTCAAAAATATTCTAGTACAAACATATCATTAAATTTTACTTTAAATTTTATTTTAAGCCTTAAGCGTAAAACATTTACGCTTTATTAATAATTAAATAGAAAATAATCGATTAAATTATATTTTAAATTTTATTATAATTATCGCTAAATTACATTTTAATTTTAAATTAGAAATAACACCTTTCTTCTGTTCTCTTCCCCCATAAATCATCAGATCATCAACTCAAAAATATTTTAATAAAACCATACAAGTAAATTTTATTTTAAGCCGCGCCATACGCTTTATTAATAATTGAATAGAAAATAATTGATTAAAAAATTTTAATTGATTGGTCTGTATTTATTTTCTACAAATGCTTTATTGAATTATTTATTCAATGTACCTAATTTTTTTATGGGTTCAGAATTAAAAATGCAATTTTTTTTTGGTAAAAATATCGAAAAAGATTTTTAAATCTCAACAATAGTGCCACCTAGCGGGTCCCAAAATATACTATATTTCAAGCTGGAATCCTATCAAAATATTCGATAGGTGGCGCTAAAGTCAGTATAATCGCGTAATGGAGAAAATTATATTACATAGAATACACAAATTAGAATTAAAGAATATTTTTTTTTTATTTTTGAAGGAAACTGAATTTATATTTTAAGCTACAAAGATATTATTTATTTATTTGAAATCAAATACGGCACAGAAGTTACAGCAAAGTAAAATATACAGAAGTTAGGGTTTTGGCTCTTACTTTTTTCTGTTATTTTCAGTAAGAGTTCCAATTTTTAATTTATCCAATTTATTCAAAGCGTTATAATGACCTTAAGTTGTAGGATCTTTCCTTTTAGATAAAAATTCAAAATTTTGAATGAATCTTCTACTTCATTTTTGGAAGGTGGATGAACAATTTTACCCACCGAACCATCATCATTATCATTTTCCCTTACCATTTCGCTCCGCTTAGAATCGGATTCAATTATTCAAAGCTATAATGCTCAATAATATCGTCATCTGTAGAAATGCTCATTAAATTTCATTAGTAATTCTGTTCCATCCATTCACGACCATCCTCAATGTTATTCAAGAAAATGTCTATGAAATGCATAGAATACATTTTAGTTTGCAACAATTTTGGATGTGTCGGACAATTATCGATAAGCAATAAAATTTTTCGTCCTGCAAGCAAAAACTGATTATCTAATTTTGTAATCCATTTTTCAAAAAATTAATCGGGTTTCATACTTCGAGCTCTGCTTTGTCGACATTTTCAAATATTAGCTTTTTTACTGTTTTTCTGCATCCAGAAGAAGTACGAGTACCAGACTCCAATGAAGCGGTAATAAATTTTATATTTTTTAAAATTCGTGGAAACTGAACTCGCCGGGATTTCATATTTCGCCGCTTTCGATATCCGAAATTAGTTTAAATTTTTCTTCAAGCGACAAACATTTTAAAACACGTTTCGATGCCATTAAAAACAATTTACCTGTACTGTACGACTGTATTCTAATCTATGTTGTTCACTTAACAACGTAATAAAGAAAAAAATTAAACATTTGGTTTGGAAAAGGGACTTCACCTAACACCGAAATGAATTCTTAATTAAAACTAAAATTCGACTTATAGAATGTACTTTCCCATATTCCTATTGGCACGTGACAATATTTCTATTCGAATTTTAAAGAAATTCGAGTTATAGGAGTTCGAGTTATGGAAGGAGATTTGTATACAATTTGCTGTCTAAATCCTATTG